GTTAAATGTTTAATATAGTCATATTTTCAATATTTACTTTATAGCTTCTGGGTTTGAATATTTTATTTCAGATCATGAAAAATATTAGTTCTGTTTTCTTATAAAACTCCTTAGATTCTACATATTGATTTTTAACTCATCTGAATATTTCTTGTATAATGTGTGAAATGGGGCTCTATATTTGTTTCATTTCAAGTAATAGTGGTCCATGCACCTTATTTGTTGAATAAGTCTTATTTTACCCATTGGCTTGAAATATCAACTGAATCATATATTGTTAGATATATATGTTTGTCTCTAGAATGTTCATTATATTTCATTGATCTACTTGATTATATCTGTGCTGGTGTCATGTTGGTTTAATTGCTGAGACTTTATAAGGGTTTTAATTTTTTTAAATATAATTAACTTTGATATTGAAAAAAATAAATAAAATCAATCTGTATTTAAGAAAGAAAGAAAGAAAGAAAGAGAGATGGGACTGCTACCTTTTGTGACAACATGGATGGAACTGGAAAATATTAAGCTAAGTTAAATAAGCCAGTTGATGAAAGACAAATACCATATGATCTCACCTGTTAAGTGTATTCTATTCAACAAAATAAACTAATGGACAAAATAAACCACAGGCATGGAAACATGGACCAGGCTGAAAGTGACCGGAGTGGAGGGGGAAAGAGAACAATCATGGAAAGGAGGGGAAGGGAGTAGACAAAAAACATGTTTGAATGACCCATGGACATGGACAACAGAGTGGGAATTGACTATGGGAGTGGGAGGTGGGGGTGAGGGTGGGATGGGTTGAGGGGCGTAAAGGGGTAAAAATTGAGACAACTCTAATAGAATAAACATGATTTATAAATCAAATAAATAAATATTTCCCTATCAACAACCCTCCCGCCCCCCAAAAAAAGAATTAATCACAGCCTGAACGTCTTGGGAAGAAGGAAGGGAAAGCTGTATTGTGTAGGTGATTGACAGCACCTTTTATAGGAACACCGATTCCCTGTTTCCTTTCCTTGACTTTCTAGCCCACTCAGTAGGTAGGACAACAATGTACAGTTACAGTTAGGAAAGTATTTCTCCAGCAGAAATCACTAGATAAATTGTTATCTAAAGAGCGTTCATGACACACTTTCTTAGACTGTTTACCAGCAAAAATCTTAATTGTTCTAGTAGTCTCACATCAGTGAGGTTTGAATTAACAGTGCTCAACATTTCCTGGTGATCCATCTATGGAATCTTCCAACCATAGTATCAGTAAAAACATGCTTGCATTTTCAGAGAAGCTCATTAATTTCCAATAAGGTGATTTCTTCAGCTAGTGTTATTACAGAACACTGTTACTCTTCTTTGTTGTTTCCACGCCTCCCCCCCTCCGCCCCCTGCAAACCTTACTTAGATTTCCTTCATTAGCTCACTCTTTTGACTGGCTCACAAGTGGGACTAGAAAAGTGCCATAGGAAGATTTCCTGGAATGGAGTTGAAAGGGTCCTCTGTCTGTTGTAGTTTCCAGTGTTGCTGATTGTGTCATTAGGACTGTTACAGTGGCATGACTTAGTGCCTTTTAAAAATAGGGAAGCTGAATATCAAATGCTGTATTTGACAGAAACTGAGTATTTAATGAGGAAATATTTTATCTAAGCAATGGAAACTTGTGGCCTTAATTGTTTTGTGGCCTTAATTGTTTTTTGGCCTTGTTGGTTACTGAAATTAGCATTTAAAAACTCTTGTGCTGTCTTGTTTGGTGTATAGAAAAATGAAAACTAGTTCCCACCACTAGGACTAGCCTTTTAAGTTAGGGGAACACTCTGCGCGCTTTTAGAATTTGAACACATTTGCAAGATGACTGACTGACTTGGCCTCAGGGTGTCACATGGTCACATGAGGTGACCCATCAACATAAACTTGGTAATGTTGGGTGATGTTGAGGTAATCATCACTCTGTAGGCTGTTAGACACAGACACTCAAAAATGTCAGTGCACATATTTTCTTGTGCATCTTACAGATGCTCAATCCATGGTCCTCACTTCCCCCTCTAAAGTTCCCTCCAAAGAGAAAGTTTCAACAATCGAAAGAGAAATAAACTTAAAGAGCTGATAGCATGTAAGCTAACAATTTGAGGTATTTACTGTCAAGAAGGGGCATCTGAAGTGTGACCATTTCACAATGGATGTCAACATCCATTGGGTTCTGATCAAAGCTATGTATCCCTTGCCTGTGGCAGTTAGTCCCAGTTTACTTTTTTTCCTGTTTTTAGAGTCTGGATGTGGTCTGATCAGATTTTGGAGGTACTTGGCGTGATTCCAAATTCCAAAGTTAACTTGACATAGTTTATTTATAAAAATGAGTGCCAAACAAGAATTGAAACTGGATAAGTTTGCGTGCCAGGGCAGATTTTTTTCCCCCTTAATGTATATTGGAACATATCTGAGAACGTAGTGTCTTCATGTCACTTTACCCACTCCAGCTCACAAATCTGTGGGCAGATACCGAGCAGGACTGTGACAGAGATTGCGTGGGGCTTTTTTTGGAGCTGCCTGCCACCAGGCTACATTAATATCAAGCATGAGACAAATGCTTTATAACTAAACCTAAATTATCATTCTTTATCTTTCCTTGCGTAAAAAAAGTACATTTTTTGAAGAAATCTTTGTGCCTCAGCCAGGCTAAAAACTCAGTAAAGATTTTTGAAACTTAATTACTATTGGTTGGCCGAAAAGTTTGTTTGTTTTCTCCATAAGCTGGCTCTAGTAGTGCTTAGTTGCCTTTAACCTCATTTGAAATAATTTTGTTAGATCATATTGTGACTTCTGTCATATGAGCATGCATTAAAACAAAACTTATTAAAATTGGTGAATTTCTGTGTAGCTATCTTAATACAGAAGATGGAAAAAATGAGCAACATTTTTGGGATATTATGCTTTATTATTTCAAGAAAGATAAAAACACACCTGAAATGCAAAGAAAGATTTGTGCAATTTATGGAGAAGGTGCTGTGACTGAGCAAATGTGTCAAAGGTGGTTCGTGAAGTTTCATGCTGGAGATTTCTCCCTGGACAATACTCCACAGTCTTTAGACCAGTTGAAGTTGATAGCAATCAAATCGAGACATTAACTGAAAATAATATAGCTTACTTACTCAAAATAGCCAAAATCAAGTGTTGAAAATTCATTTATACCAGTTTGGTTATGTTAATTGCTCTGATGTTTGAGTTCCACGTAAGTTAAGCAAAAAAACCCCTTCTTGACTATATTTTTGCATGTGATTCTCTACTTAAACATAATAAAAATGTTCTGTTTTTAAAATATTGTGATGGGCGATGAAAAGTGGATACTTTACAATAATGTGGAAAGGAAGAGATCATGGGGCAAATGAAATGAACCACCACCAACCACACCAAAGACCAGTCTTCAAGAATGTTGTGTATATGGTGGGATTGGAAGGGAGTCCTTTATTATGAGCTCTTTCCAGAAAACCAAATGATTAATTCCAGTAAGTACTGCTCCCGATTAGACCAACTGAAAGCACCACTCAATGAAAAAATGTCCAGAGTTAGTTAACAGAAAACTCCTAATCTTCATCAGGATAACACAAGACCACATGCTTCTTTGATGACCAGGCAAAAACTGTTAACAGCTTGTCTGGGAAGTTCTGATTCACCCACCTTATTCACCAGACATTGCACCTTCGAATTTTCATTTCTTTCAGTCTTTAATGGAAAAAAGTTCAATTTCCTGGAAGATTGCAAAAGACACCTGGAGCAGTTCTTTGCTCAAAAAGATAAAAAGTTTTGGGAAGATGGAATTATGAAGTTGCCTGAAAGATGGAAAGATGGCAGAAGGTAGTGGAACAAAATGGTAAATAGGTTGTTCAATAAAGTTATTGGTTAAAGTGAAAAATGTGTCTTTTATTTTTACTTAAAAGCCAAACAGATTTTTTGGCTCACCAAATACTTTTTTAAAAAATCACTATTGTTTCTTAATAGTTAAAATATGTGTTAGGAGGTTTGTAATTGGAGCTGATGATCTCGTCTGTAGCCCTGTAATGAATATAGAACTGTGTGGAATTCCATTGGTCTTGGTAAGTATGTAATTCTACCTCACTTGGCTTAGAATCAAGGAATAGACTGCTCTTGTCTATTGAGGCTGCTCCCTGAGTGCTCACTGCGGCCAGGCATGGTGGGCAGTGCTGGCAGGACACAGTAGGTGTAGGCAAAGAAGGACATGTGCACAACTGATTATAAGCCTGTGACAAAGCTAATGGGGCTATGCCTCCTCCTCTGGGAGCGAAGGAAGTTTTCATTTATTCTGATGGGTAAGTCTAGAAAGGTTTCACAGAGAAGGTTGCCTTGATTTGGTCTTGAAGCAAGTTTGCTGAGTCAGAATGGGCACTGGAGCAGCCATGCAAGAGAGGAGAGCAGGCAGGAGTGTGCCCTGTGTAGGGCATATGGTGCTGTGGACTGGGCATGGCCTAGGGGTGTGGAGGGGCTCTTGTGCCTGCGCTGGAGGTGTGGGGCTTGATTCTGCATCGCAAGGAACCACGGAGGATTTTCTAAGCAAGAAAATGACATTCTTCCTCAACACCACATCCTCTCTTCCACTAAAATCTCTACAAATTATAATTCACTTGGGTTATTAAAAGTTGGAGGGTGAAAGCAAGCCTTTTCTTTCTCTGTCATTATTTAGTGTAAGTATTAGCAGGAGTCAACAAACTTCAGGATTTTTTAAAAAGGCATTTAATGTGTGTTGTTTTGTATTGCATTGTTTTATATTGTGCTTGATGTTATTTTCCAGGTGCTAGAATAATTAATGCTGCATGTGCAACCAGCCTTGCCTTTTCACAGTCCTTGGCGTCAAGGAAATTAAACTCCTATTTTCGTCGTAAAATTTATACTTTTGCTTATTTTCAAACATGGGAAAGTCTCAAGAATGATTTATTTTTGTTTGATGCTTTTTCTGGTTTAAGAAAAACTTTCAAACTGTCTCTATTTCTTAGGCTTACCAAGAGGTTAAAGAGTGAGTCCCTGAGGTCCGACTTTACCATAGATTTGAAACATGAGGTATGTCATGGTGTGTTTGGTTGAGTCTCAGTAATCAGGAATTCGTGTCTTCTGATATGAATGGTGTTCTGTATTCCCCAACAGTGTTCCCTCCCCACCCCCCATGTATCATCTCCCTGCAAAGGTCATGTGGTTCCCTGAATCCAGATGAAGTCATGTCTGCTGGCACTTGCTCAGCAGCTCACTTGTTTGTGCTGCTGTGGTTTTTCTCCGAGTGTTCCTGCTCCTCTGGAACCTTATCTCACCATCCTCCGAGTCCTCCACTGAAGTCCTCAGCAAGGACTTGCACTTGCTTTTGCTGCCAGAGAGTTGTACTGATGTAGGGCCACTTTAAATCCCTTTGAGGTATTTGGACCCTGTCAGTGGTACAATTAGGGAAGCCTAGCTTTTGGTTACAAAACCCAGAGGAGATTTGGAGATAGTTTCTGCTCCATCTAGCTCCAGAGACCCCGTTCAGTGTGGGGTTTGTGTTAGACACCCCACCTGAGTGGGTCATAGGCTATGTGCTCATGAGTCCCATCAGAAGTTCAGCATCTGCAGGGCTCTGCTGATACCTGCTGAGGAGGGCTGTCCTGGGTCCCCTCTTCCCAGATTCTCACTCTTGCATTTTGTCCTCACAAGCTCCACTCTGTAGTGCAAATTTAGCAATTCATTAGCAATGATTTTAAAGATATTTTGTCCACATTTTTAGGTATTTTCAGCAAGTCAAATATGTCATTACCATACTATAGGAAATGAGTCATGATGATATTTTCTGACCTCTTTCTCTGCAATATTTGTGAATCCTCAAAAGTTTCCCTACAATTGCTTAGGGCAACTTTTGAATTTTTTGCAAGTCAAAATATTGATTCTCAGTTAATTTTTGTTAATAAAAGATAAATTAATCCATATGGAATTACTATTTTTGTAAGTAAAAAAGCTGTTGAATATTGACAAATTGACATGCTTCAATCTAGCACTATCTGTAGAAGGTGAAGTTGCTCTTCCTTGAGCTCTTTCACAGCTTCTCATATTTGTGGGGTTGGTTGAGTTCTTTCACTCACTGCTGGTCTCCGGTCATTGGACAGATTGCTCTCTACATCTGGGACAAAGGTGACGGACCTCCCCTTACTCCAGTGCCTGAGTTGTGTACAGACAGCGTGGACACCCACTGTGCTACCACATTCCACTCTTTCCTACCCCTTTGTGTAAGTAATAGAGAAAAACTTCCTTGCACATCAAAGGAAAATATACCTGCTGTGCATATGTTGTCCCACACTTTACATACTGAAAAAAATCAGCATTTGCTATGTGCCAGGTAAGAAGTGTTCATCGTGTTTCTATTAATAATAGGTCTCTAAGGTAAGCACTGTCCTCATCCCGTTTTACAAAGGAGAAGAGAGAGGCGCTGAGGAGTGGTTGCTCACAGTTACACAGTGAGTGGGCAGGAAGGGAGGATGTGACTAGCACCGTCTCCCTCTTGAGCTTTTGTACAGCATTGTCTGCCATACTCTTTGGAGCCATTTCTTTTGTTGATGATCCAGCATGTGTTTACCAGAATACCTATTTCACTTCCTAGAAAGGCAATTTCAAACATTTCCCACAATACCCAAGCCTCTCCTCAAGCCCATCTCATTATTTTCTTAGCTCGTGACCTTGCTGCAATTTCACCTGAGACTGTCCAGAACCACCAGAGTGAGCTCTTTCATTTTGGCAGACCCTCAGTCCAATCGCCAGGACAAACCTGAAGACCACTGACACTGACTTGTTACCAGTTCTTCCTCATAAGGAAACATTTACTCACCACCTTCATACGTTATCTGCTATCCTCAAGTCAGTCACACGGAAGTCTGTGTGTTGCATTTTGAAAGATGAATATATGTTCACACACATGACAACAATGGGGAGAATCTGTAATGTTTGGTCAATTGTAGATATGCTTGCTATAGGGAATATGGGGAGGGGAGACCCACCTCCTAGTGCCTGAGTAACATGACAAAGCTGTGGTTAGATGTTACTGTAAATGAGCTCAAGTGATGTAGGAGGCATGACTGAATTTTACTGAAGCCCTAAGACAGGTGATGAAGTGGTCAGAACACCCATAATGCAGTCCCTGGCCTTGGGAGTGGGTCGTCCACAGAGCTGTGTGCCCCTTTCATCTGAGTGATCAGATCGCCTGGAGCCAGCTCAGGGCTCCGGCTGCCCCCTCCTTCCACACCAGGTGTGTGAAGTAACCCTGCTTTTGGCAGAGGACAAAATATCACTGTAGCCTAGACTTGGGTAGACAAGAAAGGGGCCATAGAAATACTTTAAACATCAAAGTAAGGCCAGGCCCACCAGAGGGGGTCATTCCTTATTTTACACAAAGACATCCCCTTAGTTCTCACTTTTTGTCAAAATCTTCACCAGCTGGAAAAAGGAAAGGGAAGGTAGCTGACATTTATTGGACACCTGTGATACGCTTAATAAAAGCTGCTTTATTGGTGGTTATTTCTCCCACTTTTTAAGTGGCAGACTGAAGTTCAGACGGCTGAGGGGACTTGTCCAGATGACACAGCATGTGAGTAGCAGAGCTGGTATTCCAGTCCCAGTCTGGGTGACATCAAAGGCTTTGTTGTTAGTTGAACTGCAGTCTCTTTTCCCCCTAAAGCTTCGTCCTGAAAACAGGTTTGATGTCCCTGATACTGGTGCATTTGACCTCCAGAGCATGTGAGACCTGTTGTGGGTATGAAGTTAAGATCATATGGGCTCATATATGCATATATTTTTCCTTGTTTTTTTAGGGGACTCCAGTGAAGAAGGAGGATATTTTTGTTGCAGTAAAAACATGCAAGAAATTTCACAGTGAAAGAAGTATGTTTTGAGTTATTCATTTTCATTGAACTTTTAGAATCCAAATTGCCTTCTTAAAAAAATGCAAACCAGATATAAACTCAAGAAAGGAATGATGACACATACATTGTTGAAGTTAAAGCATTTATTAATCATTACTCCTCATCATACCACTTCAGTCACAGAAATCAATTAGAAAGGACAATTTTGTATTAAAATCCGGATGGTCCTAACCCTTTTAAATACTGTTTAAAGCAGGGTTTTAAATTGGAAATGGATAAGGTCAACTGTTGCAATCTTGGAGACAGTATGTGAATAACAATGCATTTTGCAAAACAAGGTCCTATTATGCCCACCCACAGTGTCTGAACCAAATGAGAATATTAGAGAGGATTTCAAGGTGAAAGCATGTCAAGAAGGAATGTTTTTTTGAAGACTACCTTCTTTTTACTTTTATTTCAAATGCACACTTTGGAACTTTTAAGATAGATATGTGTTTTTGGAAAAAGTTGCATTGTAAGCAGTAGCAGTGGTCCCTTCTTAAGGAAATGCTGGTGCATGTTTTTATTCAAGTTTTCCATGTCATTACAGAATTCTAAGACATTGATATCAATTAAAATAATGGTTATAATCAACAATACCTTAAAAGTATGTTAACTGTAAACCTTTATGTTTACCTAAAATAGCCATCTTAAGTTCCAAGTCTTACTAAATCAGTCTAAATAAATATAGCATTCATTATATAAGCAGTCCCAAAATACTCTTAAAAATTTTTGTAGCACTTAAAATTTTCACTTATGACAAATTTAACCTAGATTTAATATACTTTTGCTGTTTTCATAATCTAGAAGGGCTTCGTGGGACAATTCTTGATAAATATCTTTCACAAAAATTATAAAGGGAAATTAACTAGGTTGCTTTTTTTTTTTTAAGAGCAAGCAGAAGTGTTTGAACTCATTTATTTTACTTGGATCTTGAAGTAGAGTAATGATTGCTTTCACTACATTATGTTAAGAATGGTGCAGGTGCTGGTGGTGCTGGTGGTGGTGTTTTCTCTTTTGAAACACATTTTTCAAGTGACAGTAGGCAGTAAAGTTAGGGATTACCCCTGTCATGTTTTTTCATATTCTATAGAAATGAAAAGGTTGCTAATTTCATTTTAGTAATTTTGAATAGTTTATTGCTCTCTTATTTGCATAAGGCTGAGTGATCTTTTAGGATATCCATCAAATGCTTTTATATTTTAATTTTGAGTCAAAGTCTTTAAAAATTAAAGAATCTTAAAAGTTTGCTAGGAACTTTAAAACCAAACACTCCAAAGCCAGGTGCAGTGATGCCCTGCGATTAATTTGGATGTGAGAGGGTCAATGAAGCCTAAAAGTTATTACAGGACTTTCACAAATGGGTTTTGGTGGCAGGCCGTCTTTAAACTTGGACTTATTTGCTTGGGAAGATAACCTAAGGCAGCAGGATTTTAGGGACTCGGATGTCCATTTGGCTGAATGGGATGAAGCCGAACAGGTCCTGGCCTCTGCCTTCCTTCTGGGAGTCTAGTCTAGCCACCAATTTGTACAAAGAATTATCCAGTAATTATGTTAATTACAGTGACAGTGCCACAGTTAACTGCGTCTGACTGCTGTCTTTTTTCATTTTCTGGTGTGTTTCTCACATACACTGTGTCATCTAATTTCATGTTGACCACTCCTTATGATGTGGTAACTAATGTTCTTCACTTGATATTGTAGAGAAAGCTGAGTATAGTCACGAACAGCTGGCCCAAGTTCCTGTGGTCTTTTGCATAGGGCAGCTGGAGCTCAGGTTTTCTGGCTCCAAATTCCCGATTCTGCCTGCCACAGCACTGCTATACTGTGATCTCCTTGGATGTATTTCAAACCTAACACTTGGTAAATAGTATTTGATATTTGTGTTGATGCTAAAGGTCAGGTTTGGCCTGCCCAGATGCTGAGAAAGTGGCCTTTATTTTCAGTTAGCAATGGGGATATCCAGGAATTGAAATCCACAGATGATCTCAAATATATATCAAACAGGGAATTTATACTGCTACCCCATCAAGCATATTACTGCTGTAGTGAAACTGAGTACATGGAAAGAGTGTCTTTTCTTTTTTTCTTTTTTATTTCCCTATATACCTGTGGTAGAAATATTTGAAGTTACAAAGTCCAAATTACAATGAAGGAAAATAAAACTTAAGACTGTATCTGTCTGACAAAGTGAGAGTGGGCTGCACTGTTAGTGAGTTTTCTGGTGGCAGGTTGTCACTTGTAGGTGCGCTGCCCCTGGGGACTGACCATAAGTGGACACTGGTGATGGCCCCCACTCCTAGTTTCTTACAATGCTGGCCAGCCCCAGGGAAGAGGGTGAGGGATGGGACTTTGTGTCCTAGGCTCTAGTTAAGGCAAGGGAGAGTATACATTGAATTCATTGTTTTATACTCTCATGGAAAAACTGAGAATACAGCCAAGTTCCAAAGTTATTTTACCACTTGTTTTTTGTTTTTTGGGGGGGATGGGGGCTAACAGTTAAACTAATAGTTATGTAACTGTTTGTGTCTGGATTCTGATTTAAATGAAAAAAATAATTCTAAGGACACGGTCAACAAAGGCATATTTTGTCTTTTGCCTTAAGTGAGAAATACATGTCAACACCATTGAAGCAGCCACGCGCTCTGAGATGCAAGCATTCAGTAGGGTTTTATGAAACTATAAGAATTGTATAAAGCAAGGAAATTGTGCATAGCATATCAGATTATATTTAATCAAGGAGATATCTGGAATTTAATATCAGCTTGATCACTTCCTCTTGGGCTACTTTTTCTCAGGATGGGATGTGAGCTGTCTGAAAATGTGAAGAATTTCCTTTGCATCCCTTGGCCTTTGTGTGTGCCTCAGGCATCTCACTGTCCTGTCTGTCGGATGATGGTGGTGAGATGCTCCGCTGCTATCTCCCTCTAATTAAAGAGGTTATTTTGTCATTTGCTCAGCCTTCAGTTCCTTTTCACAGCTTCACGAGAGCCTAAAAATAAACTTTATTATTTTTAGATTAAAAACACCCATTTGATATCTTTAGTGCAGTAGTCTTGTCTAGAAGAGGCAGATCAAAACAAACTTATTAAAAGGAGTGTGCAGTAGTTGTGTTCTGTGATTGGAGAGGCTGACAGGTGCTGCCCTACAATCTGCTTGTTTAAAATGTGAAGCTTGAATTAAAAGGCAGCCAGGGGCAAGGCTGCCTGCTGTGTTAAATGGAGTGATTAGATTAACCGTTAAAGAGAGGACAGGAGTCAGGTGTTGCCTCGTTCAGTTCTCCTCCAGCTATGGGACAGAAGAAAATGTGCCAGATTGCCCTAAAATGTTTCAGGTCAGCCATGGTAGTTGCCTTTTAGTCTTCTGTCCACCCGTCTCTACCATCAGGAATTAAAGCACGGTCTAGGCAGGTGTCTGTAACCCTCTTCTGAGATGAGCAGCCAGGGTGTTATTTTGTGGTCATTGACTTGCATACTGAGACAACGGGTCCATTTGTCAAAACCAGCAGATTCCATAAAATCAAGTCATTCACAGTTGATTGGTAGTTTTCATATTGTGTTCAAGTGTCAAGTTCATTTTCATTTGGAATCAGAGTTTCACAGGTCTATTCATTGGGAGTAAAAATGTGTGCTCTGTGCCTAATAGACATAGCTCCCCCCATGTCAAGACTTAAGGGCATGTGGAAGACTTATGACATCTGTGCAGCAGGCTTTTTATTATAGTCCAATTTTTACTTTGCTCCAATTTCAAGTTATCTCACAGCAAACCTTCTTGAAAGAGGCACTCACTGTTTTATTATGTGGTAGAAAGTATGCTACTCTATCAAAAATGAGATATTAGACCATGTAACTATTTTGACCTTTTTTTCAGTGTTTAATATGTTTAGGAATACACTGCCTTGATACCGTATAAAATATTTCATATATAGTAGAATGAATTCAGTTTAGAATTCAAACAATGCTAACAGAATTGCCCAATATTTTAAAAGTGTTAAGTAATTTGGAATTAAACTTGGTTGAAAATAAAGCCCTAACCTGTTATTATACAAAACTTAACCTTAGCTTGAAAGTCTTTGCCCCTGCCATATAGGACAAATCCACAGGAGTTATAGTGACGGATGATACAAACCGTTGAATGCTTTTGGTAGTATAGAATCGTAACACCTCATTATATTAAAATGATTTGTCTTTTTTTAAAATAATTCGTAATAGTGGTACTGTCCTGGGCCAAAGAATGAAAGATGCTCTTGTGAATAAAACTTTCCTTTAAACTAGTTCCAAAAATACCCCTAGGTCTCTTGGAATGCCTACAAAATTCAGTCCTCATTTAACTATTTATTGAGCACCTACCACACCCCAGGCACTGTGTAAGATGTTGGGGAACCAGTCATACAGTAATTCTTACCTTTAGTGAAATTTCTGTTTCCACTGAAAACTGAAAACTGGTAGTTAGGTATAGGAAATAGCTAACTTACATTCGTTTTTTATTCTAATCTCAAGTTAGCTAATTGAGAAGGAATACCTATGCCGTTTAATAAAGCTCTTAGAGCCACAAGAACTGATGGCTAAGGGCTAAGGAAATGGAAGCAAAAATCTCATGGCTTGCAAGACCCAGTGCTAGGGACTGGGGAAAGTTCTTGACCTTTCCAGGCTTATGCAGAAGGGACATTTTACCCAAGAGCAGGGACATTTAGAGGCTGCAAGCGGCAGAGAGCCTTTTTTGGGGGTCATTATGTGCAAAGCAAACTGCCAGTGCCATGTCAAGATGAAGATTTTTGTTGTGCTGGAACTTGGAAGTAGAACAGTGTGGAATTTTTTCCCCCATAGCAACCTTATCATTATTCACTGTATCTTGGTTTTGCCATGGAGAAATCTTTGTGTCTGCCTTTTTATGATTGCAGAAAAATTATATTTTAATGTATAAAAATATTTAGTGGGTTAGAATAAGAATTCATAGGTCTTCTTTCTTAAAGCTTGTGAATAATGAACTATAAAATGATGCACTTTTGCATTTTATATACAAAGGCTATCTGAGTTTGACTTTGAATTTGTTGGCTTACATAACTAAACACTTAAATTTGGCATTACATTGGCAGTTATTGCATATAATTTATTTTTTACTTGGGCTAGGAAAAAGGAAAAGGTCTGATAATATCTCAAAGAATTAGCCTGAAGATTAGGTTCATCAGAATTGAGATTCTTAAATTAATGAGGTATAAAATCTAGATAGGGTGACCTTTTCTATTAAAACTACAATGGAATCCCCTTCTTTTCCTTAAAATTTAGAGATGCACACACTTAAAAAATCACAGAAGGGAATAATTACTCAGATAGTTGGTCAAGTGAATTAATATCAAATAGTGATCAGGCAGAATTCTATGTCAGGTGTGGACACAGAGCTGCTTTTTAACATCTTACCCTCAAATACAGAAAACCAGAACTTTTTTTGTTGTTCATGTTTATTGTGTTGAAACAATTTATCTGATAATGATGGAGTTTTAAAATCTGCAATGGTTCTCAAGATCTTATTTCTCCCACATTTTTCAAAAGTGCAACAATAATATCAGACATTATATTCACATGTAGCGATTTCCAGTGGTAGGGTTGTACTCTTTATAGAATTGAGTGGTCCAGTTGGAATTGTTGTTGGGTGCAGACTGTGTAGTCTGAAACGATACCCTCCCCCAACATTGTAAGAGAGAAAAATTGCATCTCAGTCAAAATCACTTCAAATATTCTAATCCTTGAAAGTAATTTTATTCCCCACGTCCCTAAAAAGCTTTTTAAAAATCCAGTTGTGAATTTTAAATGAACCTTATTGGGAAAAGAGAAAAATTAGTTAACATTAATTTAAATGGAATGGTATAATCAGATTGTTGATTATATACTGATTAAACACAGTCAGTATAATCAGAAAATTTATTATATGGAAGCAAGTGTATTTATAACCAGGAATGAAAAGTGTTTGGCTCCAGAGTCTATTGAAAATGGCTCAGGAACAGGTTTTATTCATGTGCATTTGGCATTTCTCAGGGTAGAAAAGTGAGCTCTAAGGCTTGGAACCCCTGAACAAGAACAATTAACTCTTTCTTTTCAGGGGATTGTACTGCCCCTTCAAGATTCCAGGCTTCTCCGTATAACTGCCACTGATTGTTGCTTCTGTCATCTTTTCAGTCCCCATTGTGAAGCAGACGTGGGCCAGTCAGGCCAGTCTCATTGAATACTACAGTGACCATGCAGAAAGTTCCATTCCTACAGTGGATCTGGGAATTCCTAATACAGACAGAGGTGAGTCCTTCATTCTTACCACTCCATTTACTCAGAATGTCCATTCTGCAAATATAGTAAATTCAACTAGTAATAAAATGAGCTATCTTATAAATACTGTAATTTTTGCCTTATGGAAATTTTTTTCTTCCTTCTGTCTCAACATTTTTACCTGTGCATATGAGGTGATTTTTTTTCAGATTAAGCACTACATTGTTAAGTACTAAGACAGGTTATATGTTTTTAGTAAGCCATACTGATATGACTGAGCACATGACAATTATGATTGTTTAACAATACATTTTTTACCTTCAGAATTCATTGTGGCCTAAGTGGGGTATGCAAAGTGAATTTATCATCTTCCCACCAAAGCCACACCTCACTTAATTTTAACACTTTAACCAGCCAGGATGTTATCCAACTGCTGTATTCCAGCTATTGTTAGATGTCAGGGGAAGCAGGAATGAAGCTGACAATTTCTATCCTTAGGAAGCTTATGGTCTGAGCTTGTCATGTGTGTATCTCTGAGTAGCACTTAACCACGTTCTACACTGGTCGAATGTGGTATAAACTATATATACATATGGACATATTTGTGAATATTTTGATTACTAAATTGTTGGAAATACACTAGAGTCTCTTCAGATGGCAGGCTTTCTAATTAAAAACATTTTTTATTTAAAAAAATTAGAAGTAGATATTTGGCTACCTCACCTTCAGATCGTCTTTGTTCATCTTAATTTTTATCCAGTGTTCCTGCCACATTTTTTCTATAGTTTCCTGATTTCCCAGACACATTTATGAATAAAAACATTAAAGTAGTATGTTAATTGTCTAGACCTAGAGAGTTATCGATCTTAATTGCCTTGACCGGTAAGTACATTGTGGAATCAGATACGCTGCTCCTGTGGTTTACCAGTTCTTCTGACAAGGTTCAGTGTATTACTGAGTTTGTCGTTGTCTGTTTTGAAAATGATTTTAGATGAATTTTCTCTTTTTTCTTTTTAGGTTACTCTTGATTTTTAGCCTTCTATTTAGGTTGACTTTAAAATTATTTATTTATTTATGCATTCCTTATTGAATTTATTATTTCATTTTTAGCCCAACATTATTATTATTCATATTTATATTCTACTTTATTCTAAAAGGAATTTGAGGTGCCTTTCAAAAATACATACCATAATGTTTAAAAATATAGAAAGAGATCAAGAATAAAAATAAAGGTCAAATTGAGTGGTTTAATATTAATTAATATTAGCTTGTTCTCTATCATGTCACCGAATACTTTGTTGAAATGAGGGACATCTTTTTACTTATCAGCTTGGGCTCTCTTCCCAAGCATTTTATTCTTATTGTGGCCCCAGCATTTTGCAATAAGGCATTGATATTTATTTGGTGGCCCCAAAGCCTGTGACTGTCTTAATCCGACTGTGTCTTTAGTGCATAGCCTAGAACCTGCCACAGTGTCCTGCATGTTAAAACCTAACAACAAGTATTTACAAAATGAATGAAGGTATAGAATTCTGCTTTTGCACCACTGTTTCTCTATGGTTGTGATACTTGGGGTACTAACAGTTGCTTTAGAATAAGTACATCAAGGAACTGGAGAGCATTATGCTAAGCAAAATAAGCCAGGGAGCGAAAGACAAATACCATATGATCTCACCTATAAGTGGAACCTAACCAACAATACAAAGATGCAAGGAAAATAAGACCAGCAACACTGAAAGGAAAAGAAACCAACAGAGACAAGAGGGAAGGAGGGAGGGGGGCAGGGAAAAGGAAGGGAAGGGGAAAGTCAAGGACCATATATCAAGGACTCATGGAGAAAACCAAAGGGGAAGAGCTGAGGGAGGGAAGGAGGGAGGGGGCAAGGGAAAGTGGTGGGCGGGAAGCAGAGACAAATGTATTCGGGGGAATAAATAAATAAATAAATAAATAAATAAATAAAAAGAATAAGTACATCTAAGGACAGATGCCAGGCTATTATAATATCTTTGAGGCTTACAACTTTCTTGTTTGTTTGAGTGAGGGTACAAGTCCTATCTTTGCCTCAAGTTAGCCACGTGACCTTGTATAATCCCCTCATCTCTTCAGTCTTCATTTCCTCATGTGTGAAATGAATGGCTTAGACTTCATGATTTCTAAAGTTCCTCCTGGTTCACTATGTCTGAGAAAATTAGAAGAGGCTGATTTCTTAAATTTCAAATTATTAAAGTACATGCCAACATTTAAAATTTTTCTTTTAAAACCCTAAAACTAAAACCATAATGTTTTAAAATGAATTATATATATTTTAAAGAAAATAGTACATTGTAGGTTTTCCTCTTGCCTTTTCTAGGTCATTGTGGAAAGACATTTGCCATTTTGGAACGGTTTTTGAATCACAGCCATGACAAAATAGCATGGTTAGTCATTGTGGATGATGATACATTAATAAGGTAAGGAGTCATTCTCGTCCCAGGATGGCTTCGTATTCTACATATATTCATATTTAGAAACTGTGATAGGATTTCTGTGTCTGGCCAAGATGTGAAAGCAGAGACTGAATTTACTCTCTCACAAATGAAACAACCACCAAAAAGGACAAGATACTTGAAATGGGGGTTTTTAAGACACTGGACATTAGGCAACAAAGGAGAATGATAGATGAGACCCAGTAAGAAATTGAGTCTTATGACTGCCCCAGCTAGCTGCCCTTTGAAAGTGTCCAAGTCACTGCTCCACGACAGGAACCCAGGTGGAACGTGGCCAACTCCTTGAAGAGCTGAAGCTGAGAGTCTGGGCGACCAAGGCCCCTGGAGTTTGCAGGACAGAGCACTGGAAAGGACAAAGCCGCACAGAAAGAGCCCGCAGGAGGTCTGTGAAGGCACCACTGAAGTGTTAATCAGCATTGCATGTGAGGAAACTTCTGCAGGCTGGGGAAAGAACCAGCCAAAATGACTGAAAGGAGTGGCGCCTGACCTCACACAGGCTGAGAATATGTACCTCTGTCTGGAATTCCCTAGCTTCACAGGGTAGTAAGTAGAGCACTTAGAGGATCTTGCTCTGATAGTGGGAAATAACACTGCTCCAGTCTTGCATGACACCTTAAAAGCAAGATCTCAAAAGGCCAAATTCTTTTCAAGTAACAAGCTCATACCCAAGAACAAAACTAAAGAGGATTTATAGAAACACCAAAATATCTAGCACCCAAAAAGATTTACAATGCTTGTCATCCAAACAAATTTCCTCCAGCATGAAATGCAGCAGGAAAATTCAACCATAAGGAAGAGAAAACTAAATTAATTGAAATTGTCCCAGAAAAGATAAAGTGTTAGAATCAGCAGTTATTAAGCTGTCTTTAATAAATAGTTATTAGAACTCTATTCCTTATGTTCAAAAAGAGATATGGGAGATATACATAAGACTGAAATCAAACTTCTAGAGATGAAAACTACATTGCCTGGGGTGAAAAACCCATTGGATGGGATTAACAGAAAATATTGCAGAAGAAAGTATCTCTGACCTTGGGGATACAGCAACAGTAACTATCCAAATGAAACTCAAAGATAAAAGATAATTTTCAACAGGTAAGCAGAACATCCCTGAGCTGTGGGACAATTCCAGGTGACCTTGTATGTATGTAGTTGGAGTCCCCTGAAGAGAAGGGGCACGTGAAAAATATTTACAGAAATATTTTCCAAATTTGATGAAAATGATAAACCCACAGATCCAAGAAGCCCAGTAAACCCCAAGCAACGCTGCCAGCATCAGCCGCGCACAGCCACCCCCGCACTGTCCTCATCAACAGTGTCTCATGCAGCTTGTGTTGCACCTGTAACTGCAGCATTCATGCCGTCATCTGCAGGACAGTTAGTCCACTTGAAAGTTTTGCCAGATCTTTGTTCAGTGTTTCTTTTTCTTTTTTCATATTTACCAGGAATAATATCTAACTGCTCGATGATGTCTTAAATTCTTTGAATTTGAACCTTGTCACCTTTTCCTTTCAAGACTTTAATATCCTTGATCACCATGAATTCCAACTTTTCTGAAGTCATGAAGCTGAACAATTGTAAGATTTGGGGTCAGTCCAGTTGGACAGAATTGGAGATTGGTCAGCATTTGCCGCATGTCCAGTTTGTAGTCAGTATGAAGGATGTGATTGTTTTCAGACTTGGTTTATGATACTTCATCTTTCAAATGATGTTTTGACTATGGAAATGGTTAATGTCATTAGGAAAACAAACCCAGAGGAGATGCTAAATGTGTTATTTTAACCTCACAAATTGAAGGATGAGGATTTGAAGTGATAGTTTTATAGTACGTAGGAGGAAGAGACATACCTTCATTTCTCCTCTAGTTATGAAGGAGACATAAATTTTCCCCAGAGAGCTTTGAGTTTTACTGGGCCTGTTACCAAGCAAAGCCTATGATTTCCTTGGGGACCTTTACGGTTCATTCTCTATAACTGAGACGTGTTTTATAGGTACCCACACACTTACTGACCTTCCCCTGCAGAATTATTTATTGAATGACTTTCTCAAGACTAATTCCAAATTAGCTGCTTAGAATGTTTAACTTGTGTGTCAAAAACAGGATTGTTTACAAAGATAACATTTTTTGGCCATTCAAAACTGTCAACATTATCAGAGGACTTGATCTTCAGATCTTCAGACAGATATAAACTTTATGAACAGACTTATAGACTCTTTTAGCACCACATTCATAAGAGATTTTTTCCATACATTAATTTGTTTTCTTCGCTGTCAGCCTCAGCTCTGTGAGTTGGGATATTTTTGTAAGCGGCGTGAGTGTGGAAGGAAAAGATGACCTCTTCTTCATCTCTACTTTGTTTTCTTATGATCCCACCTTCCCCCTCACAAAAGGAAAAAAAGGAGACATTAGAACTCTAGTGTTTTAAATGTTAATTCTGTCCTGTGGGAACAGAATCCATCATGAGCAATTTAGAGAAACACCTACTATCATATCTACCTCTTGGAGATGAATCACAGGCTTGAGAAACATTAACATTTATTTAGCCAGTTAAGAAAATGCAATACTAAGTTGCTGACCATTGAAAAACTTTTTTCAAGGAACATGATTAATATCATCAGGGAACCTAGGGTTCGGTGGTGTGAAAGCTCCAATTTAGAAGAAACAATGGAAGGACTTTATGAGGCATTTGTCAGTGGTCTAAGTTCTTACCACATGGGAAAACCTAGCTTTTCTTAGCATTAACTTTGTGTTGCCTTTAAAAAGTAACTTTTAGGTTTTATTTTCCTGTGAAATCTTTTTTTTATCTTTACAGCAGCAATAGTTGCAGGCATTTTTCTGACCAGCCCTAAATCTTCTCTTGCCCTATGTAAGTTATCATTGTTGACACATGACAGAGAAGTATCGGGGCCAGAGAGATGAACAAATGTAAAAAGACCACAGACGAGGATGCAGTACTCCAGGGAAACCTAAGTATCACTGTGCATCATAACTGGAGCGTTTCCTGGAAAGCCTGCCCGCCTGCCTTCCCTTCCTCACCTGCCAGCCACTCTAATGTGGATCTCATTTGTTCCTCAAAAATTCCTTTTGGCTGTCAAGAATTAAAACAAACGAACAAACCAACCACCAAGTACATATGAAGAGATGAGACGATTAGTTCACACTCCCTGGGGAATAGGATGGGTAGTGAGTCGTATAGTGCACTGGCTATACCACCTTCTTCATTAACCTGCCACCCAAACTGGGCAGCCACATGCTGCCGGGGGGTCACTAAAACTGGGGAGGAAGGCCCATGTTTCTCAATTTCTCTCCCATTTTCAGTAACATACAGTGTTCATCAATTCTTTTTTTCCTTTAAAAATATTCCATTCTCCTGTAAATCATTTGAATTTCATCTCTGAAGGATTTCAGTATTGTATTCTATAATGTCACCAGTGGGATGTAAGAACCCTAAAAATATTTACTGAATTAAATAGTCATTGCTTATGTTTCCTTGGGAATCCTAGCATCTCCAGGCTCCAGCATTTGTTGAGCTGCTACGAGTCTGATGAACCGGTGTTCCTCGGAGAGCGCTACGGCTATGGCCTAGGCACTGGAGGCTACAGCTACATCACAGGCGGAGGAGGGTAAGTAGAAGCATGGCTTTCTGCAAATTCTCTGCATGTCGCACTTCCGTTTCTGGATGCAGAGTTGGGCCTGTGGCTGTGGGATTTCTACTGATCCATGTAAGTGCTCTGTAAATGGTGGCTGTTCCTATAACAGGGAAGTAAACATTCCACTTGTTAAATATGGAAAGAACAACAGTAAAGAATATATCCCTTGAAGAGACAATATATGTTAAGGTTCTTGGTAGAAATGTCCCTATAGTAATGCTTGCTTCTGGGTAGCCAATTAGTTTTGATTACCTGTTTAAATGAAAAAAAAATTGGATATAGACTTGATTTCCAGCAAATACATCATTAGACTTTTAAATGATCTAGTGCTTTCAAATCACATTTGGGAAAAGAGAGTGTAAAATTTAGACTCAAGCAATTAAGTGATATTTGTGTAGGATTTACAGGTTTCAAATAACAGTTAAAATAAAATGTTTTTAAATGAAGCATCTGCCAAATCTTTTATGGGGAAAGATTTTAATTTGATTTATGTGGGTAAAACAATTAAGCAATTAGTTTTTTCTGTTATTTTTATAGTCTTTGCTATTGGGGCATTTAGGAAGACTTTTCTTGTATTTTCATGACGGTATTTTTAGTTGTATATTTTCCATTATCATTTATCCTCCCTCCTCCCAGAAAGACTCTTAACTTAATTATGAACTATAGTCATTTAGACTCATCCTACAGAAGTTTGTTGAATGGCCACCGTATACTGGGCAACATTTTAGGCACTGGACTATAAACTTCTGAAGGGCTAGGACTTTGTTTTTACTTTGCAGTCCCCAAGATGAGAACAGTTCCTACTGCAGGGTCTCAGGAACCAGGTGTGCCTGCTTGGTCTAGCTGGTTCAGTTGTGTATGCAGTGTGGTCAAGGGGGTGGCCCTAGCACAGTGATAACCCAGCCTGGGCAGGAGGATGGATCTATGTTCAGCAGTTAGATGCATCTACCTGAGGTCATGAGCAGTAGGAGATGGGGCTCCATGCAGGCCTTTGAAAAGACACTAAAAGGTAAGGCCAAAGAATACTGACCTCTTCATTTAAAAAAAAAAAAAAGCTGTTTGCTGCCTTGTGGTAATGTGCTTAGTTTTCTGGGTGAAGTGTTGGAGCCATTTAAGGATCAAGGCATGGTACCCATTAAGCCAGAACCTTCCACTTTTGAAAGGTGCTGGTATTTGTATATGGGTTTATATATTTTGTAGCACAAAGGTGTTAATGCACTTTTAAACTAGAAGTGACTTTTTGTGTGCTTTCTGCAAGCAAACTCTTTTGTTGTCTTCCTTGCCAATTGGATTTGGCTGTGACTTCTGAGACTGGCACTAGAGGCCTTCTAAAGTTGGGTTTCACCTTAATCACCTGCATTGCCTTCAGCTGCTCCAGTTGGTCATTCATTCAGTCAGAAAGCCAGTATGTGCAAGGTACTAGGAGGGCACTAGTGGAGCAAATGAGAGCCACAGCGCCAGCTGTTGCTGGATTGTCCTGGGTCAGGAACTGCTGAGCCACCAACATGGCACCTTTAGCCTCTTACATGTTGAATTTTTATCTTCTACTGTCTTTTCTGAGACCTCTAGTTTCCCCATCTTAAAACTTCTTCCTGCCACCACACCTCCTCCCTTCTCGCCTTGGAAACATCATAAGAATTCACTATTCTCACTACCCCACTTCCTCAGTCCCACTGCCATCTGATCTGACCTGCATCTGGCCTGGGGCTGGTGTCCATGGCCTTCTACTTAAACTACCTTATCAGTATGATCCATGCAGCCAATCAAATGGATCCACTCTACTCTTTTTCTTATTTAACCTATGAGCAGCCTTTGATGAGGTTGACTGTTACTCCTTAAAACGCTGCCTTCTCTTACTCTCTAGAACACCCTGCTATTGTTTATTTCTGCCTTTGTGCTTGTACCTTCCCAGTTCCTTTTATCTATCCCTAAATGTCTGTGTTTTCCAGTCATCTTTTCTAGTCTCTCTTCTCACTCTCTTGCTGGTCTCACCCATGCCCATGGCTACATGCCGAGTGCACCCCAATTTCTACCCCCAGCCTGGAGATAGATTCTCTCTCTTGACATGATTCAAATGTCCACTTACCAGAGGACACCTCCACTGGGATGGTTCAAGGGCCCATTAAATTCAACACCCCCTATACTGACCTCCTCGTTTCTGACTTGAGCTCCAGTTCTCATGTTCAGTCAGTGGCCCTTCCCTTCCAGGGAAGCCATCAGCGTATGTTAGTCCTGCCACAGAAGTCAGTGAGTCAGCTCCTTCCTTCCTCTCCTTCATTCCCCACTCCCCCGTGGTCTGCTCAGTCACTAGGCCATGTCGATTTTATCTCCTAAATATCTCTTCTGTCAGTACTTCTCTCTTTCTGCACCTCGACAATTGTAGTCTAGGTTACCATCATCTCCTGTGTGGTGGGTTCCTGCTGCAGGCTCCTGGTCTCCCTACTTCTCCATACCATTGTGCCCACTGTAGTCAGACCTTCCTCAGAGTATATCTGATCTTCACCTTCTTCTTCACAGAGGCCTTCATTGACTTCCCTTTGCTTTATTTTTTTCCCCAAGAGTGTGAAACCTTTTTTACCTTGGGCTGCTGAGGCTAGGAGATAATCATTTAGACATCAACAATGTAAGTCCTCATTTTAATCACCTTGAGTTTGCCTAATCTACAGCCTCCTTGGTCTCCTAAGGCCACTGCGTTGGGCCAGGGGTCTTTTCTCCCACCTTCCAGCCCCCAGGCCCATTGCCCTGAAAGCTGCTGCAGCTTGCTCCCTACCTTGGAAGTATGCCTCTCTCTAGGAATTAGTTCATCTAGACTTCATATCATCCATCTCTTCAGAAATTCCATAGGTTAATGTGATTTTATTTCTTTGCATTACCACAGGAGTGAAAGTCTTCTGCATCCTTTTATAACCTCCCATTGCCTCGCCTTCCACATCAGGTCTACCAGGCCTCTCATGGTCTTGGCAGATGCCTCATTCACCTGTGCTCTCTTGCTTAAAGAACTCAGGTGGAATTTATCTCAGTTCCCCAGAGGCACTGGCTTTCTCCTTTCACCCTAAGACACGCATCTGCTGGTCTCTATAGCATTGTTCTGCCAGCCCAACTTTCTACCTCTGTCACCTGACTAATACTTTTCATTCTTTTGGACTCAATACAGTCATTTATTTATTCCTGGAGCTTTCAGCCTGGTCTACCCTCTCAAATCTGGGTTGATGCCTTTCTAATGTATTTCATGGCATATTATGCAAACCATTATCATTTAATTGCCTATTTACTTTTTCATTTTCCACCTAAATTATGAATTATTTGAAGGCAGTGCCTGTGTCTTGCTTCTCATTACATCCTCACTTCCTAGCATAGGACTAATTTTTTTTTTTTTTACAAGATGTAGTGAATAAACCGAATACACAAATGCAGACCACAGATCACTGGGCATTGATCTTTACATAGATAATGTCGGCCAGTGTACTATTCTGTTGTTAATAACACTTTAACAAAGACACAGGAACATTCTTTGTGAAATCGTTTCATGTCACCTTTGGATAAAAGTGGCACACTCAATATTGATAGTTTTTCTAGTATTAGACTTTTCTGATGGTGTAGTTGAAAAATCAACATGTTTGTTTAAACAGCAGGTCAGGATCAGTTAATGGCTTATAAAACCAAGGATCTTAACTTTCACTTTAAAATAATGAACTATAGAAGGGAATAGAATGAACTAGGGATATTATAGTGTGTCACATGTAGTTAAGGGCAAGTATTGTTTTGTGACATTTTTGTTTCCATTTTGTACACACACACAAAGTGTTGCAATATCAAATGTGTTTGTTTTCTCACTGTGGTTTACAGTCCAGTAAGTTTTTGAAAACATTGCCTTAAGCTATCCTGTTAAGCCCCACTGGCCAGAGCCAAGTTGGGAGGTGGACTTCATTGACTTTTGTGCAGGTTTTCTGTATTGTTTGGGAAACGAGACCTGGGCACTATTTGAATCCCAGTGTCTGTTTTCCACTTTGTGCTTACCCCTTGAAAGTTTGGGTATTTGAGGACAGTTGGTTTAGTAACTGTTCTTTTTTGAAAATACTTATTTATACATGTTTGGGTAGGAAGCTGTGATCAGGATGTCATGTCTCCCTCTGGCAGTGTTACCCAGAGAGGCCATGACCGTGACCTTGCAGTGGCTGGAAGACCAGCACAAGGTGGGGGGCGGGGGGGTTACCTTTCTGAGGCACTTGTCTCCTGTGTGTGTTCCCAACTTGCTGGTACACTCTGGGGTAAGTCTCTGCCTCCTGTTTCAATTTTTCTTATTTTTAAAATTAGCATATTATGTATTAGTCTTATTGCCTTTCAGCATCTTTTTAATAGTTAAAAGTTATTAGACATACCATGGTAAACAGGTAATTTTCCATTTTGGCGGTAACTTTGGGAAAAAACCCATCAGCGCACTAACAAACGGGTGTTATTAAAGGCCCTTGTATACTTAGTTTATGTGAATAATGAATGTAGGACTGCTCTGTGTGAGTAGGCCCAAATAAAAATACTGATAAATATTTCATGCTTACATTTTGTCTTCCTGTAAAGTTAACTGTCTAGAGTTGGCCCAAATAAAAGGCCTTTCTCTTCTTTCTCATTCTACTAGATGATGGCGAAAGGGAAAAAGAAAGTATTTTTATTTAAATTGGGTTGACAGTGAACAACATTATAGCTTTGATTGGAATACAAGCATACATATGAAAATTTTGTCAATGTGACATCACATAGGTGACATTTAAGGGGACTGTTTGTGTATAGTCCATGCATATCCCCTCACATGGCCACAGTGAGATGGGTAGAGTCTGATGCAGTTGTGCAGGTGTGGGGCCCAGGGTCATGGGTAGACGCTAGACTTTATAAAAGAAAGTTTATGGTGAGTTTTAAACCTGCAGTTTCCCTTTTCTGTATAGCTCTTCTTGTACAGTCACATTTCTTGTATGCTCTTAAATAAATAGCTTCTTTTTTCTCCTGACTGGTCATTTTTCTCTGTGTCTTCTGATACCCTTGCAAGGGCAGGGAGAGCATCTCAGCATTATTGCATCACTTGTGTTAAACTGCTCTGAACTGAGCCCAGGCATGAAATTAACATTTTTGCATTGGGGATTGTGTCCAAGCTCTTTGCCCCTTTTCCTTTCCTACTAGACTGATCTGTAGAACTCTTCCTCTCTCAGGAGGATCTTTGCAAAAGGAGCTTCATTCTTGTTTGTTTGGTGCAGCAAACTTTTATTGAGTGCATATTGTATGTGAGGCCCTATATTTGGACATGGGGATATATGGATAAATTTTGAACAGTTTTGCCTTCAAGAGTGTTGTCACTTATTGGGAATGAAGTTGCAAACCATATGCACCCTTTAGCCCTATCGCTTTTGGGTTATTCAGGATTTGAGATGATACATTACCACCCTAGGACCAGAGTAAAAGCCAGGAACCAATCTGTGTGTTAAAAAGGGGAAAATTTATTTCAGGAAGTTGGTACAAAGTCCTGGAAAAAGGCCGCAGGAAGAAAGGGATCTGTGGCCTTGCATCTAGGTTAGTAACCATAGAAAGCCTTATTGCTCCTAAGGCTGGAGGAGCAAAGCAGGTGCCATCTTCTGGAGCCCATCTTTGTGGGCTGCTGTTGCTGCTGTGAGTCATAGTGCTGCATGTAGTCAAACCAGGACTGGCCCCTTGCTACTGCTGTGGGTCACCACTAATGTTCTGCTGGAGCCTGTGGCTTCCACCGTGCCCTGTCTCTGCCCCAGGGTTGTATCCTTGTTGTAAGAATGAAGCCAGGACTGGCTGGTGAGGGAGTCTGAAAAGGCAGGAACAGACGTGAGTTCCACTAGAAAGTACCCAATACATCGTGTCAAATACTGTCAGAGCACTGTTTGAGACAAATCAATCTCTCTTTCTCCCTTTCTTTTTCTTTAGTCTCTTTCTCAAAGTCACCATATGGAAGCTTCTATAGACTGGAGTCACTTAGATAATGCATGGCTTTTCAGTTAGATTTTATCTCATTGTCTTCTCCTGTGTGAGTGAGGTACCTTGTTTTTGTGGGTCATCTACCTGCTGGGAGTGCTGGGAGATTTTGTTATTGATCTCATTGAGATTTTTTGGAACTAAAGAATGATCCCAATCTCCAATGGCATATAGAAAAAGAACACGGCATAATATTAGCAAGAAATATGTAAAGAAATAAAACTACTTATTAGATAGGTAAACATCTTTTAAGTGATTTTTCCTTTTATAGAAAGCACAAAAACATTTTCCTCAGAATTTATATTAAATATACAAGATTCCTGATGTCAACATCTTTTCTATCAAAAACCTGGCCTCGGAATGCTATTTCTTTATTCAGATTCATGGTTCCAAAGAGCAACTCTAACCCCTTTGTTTGCTCTGACTTCCCACTAGGATGGTCTTCAGCAGAGAAGCCATCAGGAGACTTCTCACCAGTAAGTGTCGTTGCTACAGCAACAACGCTCCCGATGACATGGTCCTGGGCATGTGCTTCAGTGGTCTGGGAGTCCCTGTGACACACAGCCCTCTCTTCCATCAGGTGAGGAATGGATTTTATTTCTACCTCAGAGTGAAAAAGGAGAATTTCTTCTCATAGAAGGATTCTCCTCCTTGCATTTCACACATTCTTCTGGAAACAGTGTTAAGAACCACCACAGACAGTGTCCAGAGGGTTGCTCTTGTGTCATGAGCAGCATGAAGATGGAAGACAGAAACATCTAGGAAATTAAATGGAGCTTGACCAGTACCCTTGCCTGTAGGACCAGGAAAAAGCTGTCCTTTTTTTAATTTTGAGATAAAAATTGATGGCATTTAAGAATTATTAAATGCTATCTAGAAATATGCAGGACTGTCCTAATATTGTCCTGTGGGCCACTAAATGTATGTAATTCTACACTGTCCTCCATTTTCTCACTGTCCATTTATTGGTCCCCCTACTTATTGGTCCCCACTCCCCTTTGGTTGCTATTAAACTGGGTGGCTAAACTTTATAAATCTCAATAAGCATATATATTCTAGGGCATCATAGAAAAGAAGAGACAAGATGATGTTTACCAGGGTGGTTGGTGCTAATAGGTCCACAATACTGCAGTTTGGGGTTGGAGAATGGAATCCTTCTGCATTAGTTTTAGTAGTTTTTAAAGAATCAGGTCAGTGGATGTTCTGATATTATAAGAGTAATAGCAGATATACTGGCTCTAAAAATATGCATAGCCCACACCCATTTGGTACTCTTCTTCAAGAAATGCAAAGCTTTTTGAAATTTGAAATGTAGAAATGCATGTATTTCTTAAGTGCCCTCCCTTATATTGAATATTTAATTTTTATGCTTTATTTAGTAACCAGCAGCAAACGCTTTCATAGCAATATAGAAAATTGAGCATGAAAGAAATAGCACTGTATAGAAAATAATGTGAACAAAGGAAAGAAGGCATTTGCATTATCGAGAAGGCAGAATCCATTTCTCCATTTTTGCAACCACAAGGGAGGATAAAAATAGACCTTTAATAATAATAAGTGTATGAGAAAACTCCTTCCTGGTACCAGTCAGGTACTTATCCGTCTTTTAAAAGCTTGAGCGGTCTTACCCATTTTAGGTCTATGTGTTGTGTTATGATCTCTTAGATTTTCTCTCACTCTCTCTCTTGCTCTGCCTCATGTTTCCCTCATAGAAAAGAAAGGGTGATTAAAACTGTTGGTGTATAAGGGAAATAATTTATCATTGTTAATATGATGCCTTAGATTTTTATGACAGCCTGTTTTAGGGAAAGAGTACATGAATAAATAAAATTATAAGGAGGAAAGAAAGAAGGAAAATTATCCTTAAGTGAAAGTTCTTTGAGGATAATTTTTTACAAAATTTGTTGTTTCCTACATTTTAAAACTCTTGATTTTTGTAGTTCACATAATAAATTTTAAACCTTTCCAAAACAGTAAATTTTACTTAAACTCTATCCTTCCAACAGGTACTGTGATGCCTTTCTATTCTTTAGCCCCTTTTAGAGAGTTTCCTGTGATTTGGTTATTAGGTATTTTGCACTTGTAAGAAGTGAATGCTGATCCAAACGGAGATCTGTTTGTTCATACTGAGAAAGAGGTATGGGGCAAAGAGAGACAACCTGGGATTCCTGATGAATTAGAGATAGAGTGGGTTTTGGAAGCAGCCCCACATGCTGAGTAGCCTGGGCCACTTTCCTTCTCTTTCTCATCAGGGAAGGTTTAGAAGGTTTAGAAGGGGGTTTCAAGTATCCTAGTATATCCTTTTGTTAAAAACAAAGTATCTAGAGCATGTGCTTTTCTGTTCTTCCAAAATTATATGCCACTGATGGGTATGGCAGCATGTAATGCAGTGAACCCTGTGCACAAAATTGTCAAAATAACCATTTCCAGACTGTGGAAATCAACCAAAAGCACTGAGAAGCATTTACTGCTGAAAAACTGCTACAGCTTTGGGTGAGAACAACAGCCTCTGAGGCCTCCTGAGCCCTTTCTGCCAGAAGTCCCCCCCAGTTTTGCCAGTATGGGCCCAGATGAAGAGAACACCAGCTTTACTGTCAGAACAGGTGGACTTGAGTTGAGGAATGAGAAATGACACTGAAATTGTCAACTAAAATTTATAGGAAACAAAAGAAAAACCTGCACCTTTATTGGTCTGAAGTTGCCATCTCAGATATAGTGAAGGGTATATTAGCCAATATCCTTGGAAGTAAGAGAGCAAGAGTATGACTAGGAAAGCTCTCCACCATTCTCTGGCCTGCTCAGAAACTGTGTGCATGTGCATAGGACCACGGATGAGCTTAGCAGAAAGTAAAAACCAAAACGTATTTGTAAGCCCACTGATGCTTTGAATCACATTGGCCACACATTGGTAGAAGCCTTATTGGCTTGAGGTGTTTGAGCATAACCTCTGTCTATATCATAAGTTGACCACCAAGCTATTCAAGCATGGGGATGAATTCTAGCAAGGCACACTGAAAAATAAAAGAAAGAACTAAACTTGGGTGGAGATACCAGCAGCCATGCCCTGAAGGAAGACAGATTCCATAATGTAAGTCCAGGAAAGTTATTTACAAAAACATAGTAAAAGTAAACAGATTTTTGAGTTGCTCTAATATATTATCAAAATAATCAATTTCCAACCAATTATTGAGAGACAAGCAAAGAGACATACTCATGGGAAAAGATAGTCAGTAGAAACTGACTTTGAGGGGGACCACATGCTGGAATTGATAGACTCAAAGGAGTTAATAAAACTATAGGCACAGAATTAAAGAAAACAGTGTTCATAGAATTAAAAGAAATATGAAGACCATGACTGAACAAATAGCAAATCTTAATAGAAAAATAGAAACTATGATAAGGAACCAAATGAAAATCCAATAGTTATAACACCTAATAACTGAAATGAGACATTATCTAGATGGACTTAACAATAGATTTAAGATGGCAGAAAAAACAATTAGTGAATTTGAGGCAAACCAACAGAAGTCATCCAACTCATAGAAAAGAGAGGGAAAAAAAGACTGAAGACAAATGGACTGAACCTCCTCAGGAACATGGGTAAACCATTAAGTTTATCAACATACATTTAATTAGACTACTAAAAAGAGAAGGGAGAGAGAATTGGACAAAAAAAAAAAAAAAGGTTATTTAAAGAAATAAGTGAAACACCCCAAATGTGATGAAAACATTAATCTATAGACCCAAGGAGCTCAACAAAGTTCAAGTAGGATAACCATAAAAAGAATCACACATGGACATGTTATAATAAAACTGTTGAAAGACAATTAAGAAGTGAAAATTATAAAAGCATTAAAAAAACCTAATGAAAAGGGAAACAAAAATAAGATTACTGGCTGATTTTTTCATTAGAAATAATAAAAAAACCTAAAGGCAGAAAAAAAGAACTATTCAACCAATAATTCTATATGCAGTAGAACTTGCCTTCCAAAACGGAAGCAGAATAAAGATATTCCCAGATAAACAAAACACGAGAGAATCCTTTGCTAGTAGACATTCCCTTTGGACTGAAAGGAAATGACACCACACGGTAACTGGAATATATCAAAAGGAATGTTGTATACTGGAAAGGATTAATATGAGGGAAAATAAAAGAATGTACATTTGTTTGTATGTATGTATGAGAAGAAAAAATGTGTATGTATAAACATATTTATGGATTGAAAGACTCAATATGCTATGATGGAAATTTTCACTGTTGATTCTTTAAATTCATTTTAAATTAATTATCAATTAATTTATTTTAAATTGACTTTATTATATTCTAAATGTCCATATGAAATGTTCTAGATAGAGACAGATTTTTAAATTAAATTCCTCACATTAAATAATAAGCACATCTTGACCCCTCGCCTCCCCTGCCTTTTTGACCTGGTTTTTTCCTCTAGGGCAATATGATGAGAGCCACATCAGTTGTCCTGTACAAGTAGCCAGATACCCAAAGGCAAAGGACAAGGAAAATTATTTTCTCTGCATATAAAAGTGAAGGAGGCTGCTGTCCCTTTCCTGTCCTTACTCCAGCCCTTTGGGATGCAAATAAACTCTCTTTAGGGACCTCATTTCTCCTTGAAATGTAAATGTATCCCTAGTGTGATAGTGTTCAGGTCTTCCTGGCACCTAGGGACTAGCTCAGGGGTGTAACGATTGGCCTTCTCCAAGAGATAAGGCAAGTTTTACTTGTCATTTTGGGTCAGAGCAATTAACTAGACAAATAACTATGAATCTTATTCTCATGAGATATGAGATGTATTTGACTAGTGGGCTAAGCCTTTTTTTTTTTTTTTTTACACAAAAACAGAAATTCAGGGAAATTTTCTTTCCTCACACTCCCCAAATTGATCTAAAGATTCAGTACAATCCATATCAAAATTATAGCAGTCTTCTTTATAAAAATTGGCAATCTGATTCTATAATGTATATGGAAATACAAAGCAGTTTTTCAAAAGGATATCCAAATGGGAGGATTTATACTTACAGGTTTTCAAAACTTACTATAATGATACAATATTCAAGACAATATGAAATTAGTAAAAGGGTAAACAATGGAACAGGATAGAGATTCTAGAAATAAACCCTCCCAATTATGGTAAACAGGCCAAGGCAACCAGTGAGGAATAGAACAAATGGTGCCAGACAATTAGGTATATCCACATAGAACCTTACCTCACAACCATACACAAAAATGAACTCAGAATCGATCATAGTACAAAATATTAACACTAAAGCTATATACTTCTGGGAGAAAACATAGGGATAATTCTTTGAGACTTTTGTTTAGGTGAAAATGTCTTATAGCATCAAAAGCACTATCCATAACAAGAAAAAAAATCACAGATTGAACTTCATAAAAATATTAAAAACTTTGATCTTCAAAAGATATTAAGAAAATAAGAAAAAATTCAAGGCATAGACTGGAAGTAATACTTGTAAGTCATACATCCGATAAAGGACCCATGTCTGGAATATGTAACAATCTTTCACAGCCCAATAAGAAAACAAACTGTGCAGTTTAAAATGGGCAAAAGATTTGAATAGACAGTTCACTAAAGAAGATATATGAATGGCAAACAAGCACATGAAAAGATGCTCAACATTATCAGTCTTTAGGGAAGTTCAGACAAAAGTCCATATGAGGCACTACCATGCGTCTACTAGAATGGCTAAGCAGAAAGATAGATTGTACAAAGAGTTGACAAGGATGTGGAAAACTACATCTCTCATCTATTGCTATGGGAGTATAGAAGACAGTCACTTCGGAGGCATTCTGGCAGTTCCTTAAAAGTTAAACATACATAGGGAGAGCAGTTTATGATATGGCTCTCAATGGTCCTCTCCTGCTGGTGTTCATGCCCTTGTATAGTCCCCTCCTCTTTAGTGTGGGTCAGTAGAGTATGATGAAGGTGATGGGACATCTCTTCTGTAGTTAGGTTACAAAGGGTTGTGACTTCCATTTTCCTTGCAGACTTTCCCTATGGCCTTCTGGGCTTGCAAGGTTTGGTGAAACAAGCTGCCTGGGGGCAAAGCGGTAAAGCCCACCTCAGTCCACTAGTCCACAAGGAACTGAATACAGCCATGACTACCAAGTGAGCCTGGAAGGGGCTATTTTCTCAGTTGACCCTCAGGTGAGCCCACAGAGCTTAGCTGGCATCTCTGTGAGACTGTGAAGTGGAGCTCCCAGCTAAGTTGTGCCCAGATTCCTGACCTGTGAGAGCTGTGTGATCAGAAATGTGTGTTGTTTGTGTGGTATTTCCATACAATACAATATTGCTTAGCAGTTTAGAGGACTGAACCACTGACATATACAGCTATACTAAGCGAAGGAAGACAGACACAAAGTATTCATACTATATGATTCCACTAATAAGAAAGTTTTAGAAAAGGCAACACTGTAGAGAAAAGGCAAATCAGAAGTTTCCTGGGTTTGCCACTGGTGGTGTGGATTGACTGCAAATGCCTGCCAGAAAATTAGAGCATTCTAGAACTGGATTTGTGGTTGCCTAACTGGATATTTACCAGAAATTTTCAAACTGTGTGAATTGTGGGTATATAAATCATACCTCAGTACAGCTGTAAAATGTATGTATGTCTAAAGAAATACAGTTTTAATTTCCATTTGTTGTATACAGTTCAGTGTGCCCTAATCTTTACAAATAAAAAGGTTTTAATTTTGTCCAATTTATGTCCTCATGTAGTTTGAGCCATGTCTCTCTTTTCTTACACATCTGTTCCTAGGGTCTTCCTATGCATGACCCTGCCTGTTTGGCATTTCCTTTAGGCGTTTTGAGCACAGAGATGTGATTATTAGAGGCTGTATAGACTTCCCAATGTTAAACATGCCTCTTTGGATGCAGTTCACTTTTCTAGTTTTGTCTTATTCTTTTCTGTGGCCTCACTTATCAGACATAATTAGTACCTTCTAATGCTTGCTAGGCCAGCTCTTCCCTTGCATACATGGCTCCTGAGATGCAGCTATCACTTCTGGAATCCACATCGACAGAGGGAAAGAGAGTGGGGTGGCTTCAGATTTTAGGTGTTTGTGGATCAATAAAATTATATTTCCTTTTATTAACTTGGAGAAATAAAACAGCTGTGAGCTTTTTCATTTTGCAATAAATACATAAATAAATGGAAAGATGTTATGGATTTATTTCCTTCCTGTTAGACATGTTTGTATCTTCAACTTCAATATTTTAAAAAAAATTTATTTATTTATTTATTTTTAGAGAGAGGGGAAAGGAGGGGGAAAGAGAGGGAGAAAACCATCAGTCAGTTGCTTCTCATACATACCCATCTGGGGACTGAACCCGCAACCCAGTCATGTGCCCTGACCAGGGATTGAACCAGCAGACTTTTGCTTTGTGGGATGATGCGCAACCAACTGAGCCATACCAGTCAGGGCCAACCTTTCATTTTTAAATGTGAAAAACAAGCAGTGATTTGTTTCCACTCTCTTTCTTTCTTTGGGGCCATTGTGGGTTTATCTGAGAACAGAATTGGGAGTATGATCTCCTCAGGTTTCTTCCACACCAGCAAACTCTCAGAGGCATTACTAATAAATATCACATAGTATATAAGCTCCTTTAGCTGATAATCAAAAAGTCCCCAACTCAATTAGACTTTACTCCACTATATTTTTGTTCTCTGTCTCACTGTCTTCTTTGTAAATTTCCTTTTAAAGCTTTGAATTATGATTGCTTAGAATTTTTAAAGGGCAGTACCAGGGTGAAGGTTCTCCCCTTGCATTACTTCAGAGTCTTCCTCACAGCTGTTACTCTTGGAACACTCATCGGAGCAGGCTGTGTGCCGCCACTGCACACTGCCTCCCTGGGAGGCCAGCAACCAGAGTACACGGGGTACGCGAGGCCTATGTGCTGAGGACCAGCTCAGGTGTCCTGCTAGGACACTGGACTAGCAAATGGCACCAGCCTTCACCCCCATGCCAACATTTGCTGGTCATGACACCCCAGGGAAGTCACAACTTCTGTGAGCTCTGGTTTCATCTATTAATTAGGGATGAGTCACGATAATCTGATCACCTTGCAAGGTTGTTTCAAGGAATAGATGAAATAAAATTTTAATGAAGGTATTCTGTGAACTCTTCACAAGAGTTTAAATACTCATAAAAAATTTAAGCAGGATGTAATAAAATATTAGCCTAGAGAAGACTTGTCCTTAAAATATATCATTTCTAGTTTGACTAAAGTCAACACTCTTAGTATTGATAACCCATGAGTTACTATGTAACAGAGATAGGCTGTATAAATTTATAAGTAAGATGGGCCTTGGGAGAAGGTGGATGCTTTGTTTAGAGCAAACAAAATAGGATCTCATGTCAGTTTCCTTTCAAACCCTGTAGGCTGCTTATTCAGTCTTGTTGATCTAGGCTATATCTGATTCTGCTTAAATTTCATTACTTAAGTTTAGAGAATTTTGAAATGATAATGTAAGAACTTCTTACAATAAGCTCTTGTAAACCATTTTGGGTTACATAAAATGTCTGTTCACACTTCTGGAGCTGGAAGAGATATTCTGGTAGGAGGAGAATGAGTCACTTAGCCCCACATTTACGCCTCTGAAAGATGCACGCATTCCTGATGATACAGGCAGAGGAAGCCTGAGAATGCCCTGCCCATCCCACACAGCCTGGTGTGGCTAGAGTTCCTTTAGACAGACCTTGGAAATAGAAATAACTTTTTTGCCTTTTTGCAGAAGTCATAATAGTAACTGAAATGATTTACCTCAGAAAGCCGTCTATACTTATCACCTGTGGTTGAGGAATCTATGTGGAACATAGAATCAAAAAGTGATGCATTTGGGATATTAAAGTAACTGGAGAGGCAAAGGCTAAAAGCCTACAGTGGCAGGTGGGGTTTTGTTTTAATGCAACAGATTTTCCTTGCTTGAGATTCCAATAACCAATAACAAATATCAAAGGGACAATCGTTTCATACATTCACACGGTATTCTGGGGCAAAATTGTTCCGAATGAATGAGCAAGCATAATTCTCTTTCCTTCCTGCAGGCCCGGCCTGTGGATTATCCTGAGGACTACCTTTCTCATCAGGTTCCCATATCCTTCCACAAACACTGGAATATCGACCCAGTGAAGGTTTATGTCACATGGTTGGCACCCAGTGAGGAAGACAAATCCTGGCAAGAGACACAAAAAGGCTTGAAAGAGGAGTTATAAAGCCTGGGGACCTGGGGGCATGGTTTGGGCAGGAAACAGAAGGCAAGACCATGGCCTTGGTCCTGTGTGTTGTAATGATGCTACTTGCATGTGCAATGTAGCTTTGGAAGCTTCCTGACTTTTGGTGAAAATCCTGTATATGGTATTTTTTGAGGGGGAAGGAAAGGGGAAACAGGGGAAACAGATTTTTTTTTTTTCTGGGAAAAATACTTTTGTATTCTGCATTATTATGCCACACAACAATTCCTGTGTGTTTTTCAAGCTGTGACACAGAAGCTTTATTCCTGTCACAGAGAAATAAAAGGCACCAGAAGTCTTCTTGCTGTTCCTTCTCTTCATTATAATGAAGGTTTCAGTTGGGTGTGAGACCAGAGACGTGATTATCATTCTATGTATATACAGAGAGAGAAAGGGAGAGGGAGACACAAGGAATGTCATTGACATGGATATTACAGTGGTGTGAACTTTTTAACTGTATAGTTGATGATGAAAATTATTTTATGGTCACCTGGTAGGAATAATGCCATACTAGGGATGATTCATAAAACATCCTAAGAGTCTAGCTATGAAATCCCCTGTATGGGGATTGTTATGTTTTATCTCTTTTTGTGTTTGTGGCTCATAAAAAGAGAAGTCTTCTGTGGGAGCTTTTCACATCATTGGTGATTCTTCTGTGTTCTGTTTTCTCCCTGAAGCCCTTCTTTTTTTACCTCATCGTAACAGGAAAGTGTGCTGGATTCTGCCAGAAAACTGTGTACTCAGTATTTAAAAGCAAAGTTATCATGTTTTATTCAAGTCATTGAGCTCTATGTAAGTCTCAGGAATTGAATTAAATTAATTTGTACCTGATATTTTGCTCTTATTTTTCTTTGAATGTTATTTAATGACCCTCTCTTGACTACAGAACAGGTTCCCCTACTAGGGTACCATGAAACCCTAGCAGGGGTGTCCAGCTGTTTGGCATCTCTGGGCCACACTAGAAGAAGAGTTTTCTTGGGTCACATATTAAATACACAAACACTAATGAAAACAGATGAACAAAAAAAAGGTTTTAATTTACAATTTTGTGTTGGGTCGCATTCATAGCCATCCTGGGCCGCATGTGGCCCATGGGTCACGGCTTGGAGCCCCCTTCTAATAGGGTCTATTGGATGGACAGCAGCATGATTTGGCAATTTTCCTGGATTCTTTTTTTTTTATTTTTCGAAATTTTATTTATTTATTTTCAGAGAGAGAGGTAGGGAAGGAGAAAGAGAGAGAGAGAGAAACATGAAAGTGTGATTGCCTCTCACATGCCCCCTACTGGGGACCTGGCCTGCAACCCAGGCATGTGCTCTGACTGGGAATTGAACCAGTGACCCTTTGGTTTGCAGGCTGATACTCAGTCAACTGAGGCACACCAGCCAGGGCAATTTTCCTGGGTTCTTAATGAAATTTGAAATTAATATTTTGAAATGGCTTTCATTTTCAAAGCATATAGTAATTTAACACATTCATTATTTATAAAAAGTACTCTGTCATTTAATGTTTTAATTATGTAATTCAGCTTTCTAAAAGTCTTTGCAGAGAATTCGATTTTGATATGAGTTAAACTAATTTCGTATAGCAAAATACTTTTTTTTCATTAAAAATTGTTACTAATTAATTTTGCTTGTAATGCTTTATAGCCAAGCACAGGTTTTACAGCAATACTATCAAAAGTGTGTGTGCTTTGCAACAGTATATTTTTCTTTTCAGAATATGAAACAGTATATTTTAAGTAGTTTAGATTTCACTTATATCCAAAATGATGTGACAGCATTTACCATTTTTCCAAATCAGCAAATACCAGCACTGTTGTGTTTGCAGTGTTGCCTGAATGTACCCAAAACGTAGCTTCGGCTGCCTACCGCAACAAAAGCCAGACTCATGAGACAGCTGCTGGTGCAGAAGGAAAGAGGTTTCTTCAGGTCTTCAGACTTTGGAGAATGGGGACTCCCGTCTCAAAGACCAACCCCCTTCCTGATCAAGCCCGTGGATCTTAGAGGGATAGGGAAGGGAGGCCTTTTTATCCTGTCCAATTATCTTTCTAGCTTTCTGCATGCTCAGGTTATGTCCATTCATCTTTCTAGCTTTTTGGCAGGGCCCTGTCCATTCATCTTTCTAGCTCTTGGTGTGCTCGGTGTAAGAATCTCTCCACCCCCTTGCCCGGTGTCATTTTGGCAAGTGGGGAAACTCCCTGGAGCCCTGACTGACTGTGTACAGTTACATGAATGCATTACATTTCTTTTTTTTCTGAGTGGATTTTGTGTTCTGTCCAAGGAATAGATCAGGAAAAGATGATCTGGTGGGTAGAGGTACCCTAGGGATTTATACATCCTGTCAAGCTGTTGCTGATGACTTCAGCATTTTTGTCATTGCTGCCATCATTGTTATTTTCATGTCATTTGTAATAATACTCCTGGAGGACCTGGCTGCTTAGCCCAGTGGAGAAGAGCCTTCAGTGCTTCCTATGCTTGCCTACCAATCATCACACTCAGAAGGCAGCATATTCATTTGATAGGATTGAACCAGCCCCTCTACATGAAGAGATATGTTGTGCTTCCTCAGTTATGATCTGTGCCTTCTGATACCGGAGAACCTCCTCTGGTACTTTCAGGGGTTTTGTGAATTTTGTTTACTTTTTGGAACCATGTAAATCTAACCACAAATAAAAGATCTTTGCCTGAGGTTCTGATTTCATAAATGTATTCATTAGTCCAGTCCAGAACAAGATCACAAAGAGTGTAGGAGAGAAGGATTAGAGAAGTCAGGTTGGCAGCTCAGTAAACATGGTTTTCAGAGATAAAAATTAATAAAAAGCTATTCTTTTAAGAGAAAGCCATTAGATATTGAAGATGTGTTGACACATATTATGTAGTGAATTGGAGATGCCATTTGGGAATTGATTGCCATACAGTTCATATCGTAGGAACTGAGTTTTGAATCTGAACATTCCAGGAAAGATATCCTATTCCTATTTCCTTTGCCTTTTTAATAGAAATTTACTTTCAAAAGGCTACTTTTATTGTAGGGATACATCAACATCGAGGAGTTATATGTGGAATAACTGGGATGTTATTTTTGTTTTTTAAGCTGTTTCTTCTGATTGGGCCAAGGCAAGTTGTCAGACTATGTAGGATTTTTTTAAATCTTGCAGATAAGTCAGAAGCCAGACACAAATACAGCCTTCATAGGCTGAGAATATGAAACAAGAGCATAGTAGGAAAAAAAGATGGCAGAGGAATGAATGAGAGTCACACTGACCTCCTCCCAAGACCAAACTGGAATTGCGACTAAATAGTGGAGAAATCACCTGGAAAACAATGGAACAATAGAGGGAGAGGAGCCTTGGAGCTGTGGACGGAGAGTGGATTCAACTCTCACACATCCTAACTGGTGAGAAGTGCAGTGGAGGCTCGAGAGTGGGGGCTGGGCGCCCACGGGCACCAGCACCAGAGGGACATTGAAACGGCCAGTTGGATCCCCCTGAGAAGAACAGGGTCTGAATCATAAACAGGGACCCCTAGACTATAGCAGCTGAAACCAGGAAAATGCACACACAAAACACAACTCCAAAAAGCTTAGGGGCGCTCTTGCTGGAGATGCAAAGAGACATTTAAAGGGCCAACGCAAAAATTTGCAGTGGCAGCTGCCTTCCTTGATCTCAGGGTAGAGGCGGCAGGAGAGTGGGCTGGTTCCTGAGGAAAGGTTGGCGAGGAAAACTTTGTGAAGAGAACAGAGATGGTGGCCAGCGGAGCCCCGGTCATAAGTCACCTCCCACTCTGCAGCTACCACCTCGCCCAGGCATAAAAGAATCAGTTGACCTGCCTTTGGTGTGCTCCACACACAGCTTGTGCGCATGTGGGCTGGGGGCTGAGTGCAGACTGGCTGGGAAAAATAGAGGATCCCTGGCCAAAGAGGACACACAGCTGTATAGAGACCCTTGAGGAGAGACTGGAGACGGAGGGGTTGGGGAAAGAACTGGAGGATAATCTGAGATCCCTGGAGCAGAGTCCCTCCCCATTCCGTAGTCCCCATTTGTGCAGGCAGGCCATGGCCCCAAAGAGGCGGAAGCTGGTGTGGGAGCCACAAGGTTCCCGATTACACATGGTCCGCAGAAATAGCGGATCCCTAATGAAAGGGGTCACAGAGCTGCCCAGAGAGAGAGACTGGAGACAGGATTAACTGGAGAGCCCAGGAGCTGATTTCTTCTCATTTCCCTACTCTCCATTTTACACAGGTGGGCCATGCCCCTAAAGAGCCAAAAGTGGGGAAAGCACACAATAGAAAACCCTAAACTGACCAGTGCAGGCCAGGCGGCAGGCGAGCGCTGGAGGTTGGGGGAGTAAGCCACCCGGGCTGAGGCCAGTGAGCACGGGGCCGAAGTGCAAGTGCGCCTGGGCGGGCGGGGGATCCTGCCCGGGCGGGGGATCCTGCCCTGGCGGGGAGCGCGATCAAGGTGGCAGGGCGCGGGGCAGGGGGGGGAGGGGAGGGTGGCGTGAGAGTGCAGAGCGATCCACAGAAATAGTGGATCCCTGGCCAAAGGGGTCACAGAGCTGCCCAAGCAGGAGCCAGACACAGACAGTAGATTCCTAGAAGGCTAAAACAAACAACCTGGTCCTATAGGGTCAACAACTGATATCATCAGAGGCAGACCCAGAAATAAAAGTAAAGGAAAAAATAAATAAATAAATAAAAGAACTGCCTACTACCATAGAAGTTTAATCCACAAAGTCAGGATAACTAGACTGATCAATTGAAGCAGAAGCAAAATTCAATCAATCAATCAATCAATCAATAAAAAGACTCTCACAAAAATAGGAAGAAAAAGAAGTTCCCCCCAAATGAGGGGAAAAGAGGAATACCTACAAAGAGAGCTAAATGAAATAGAGGCAAGAGAACTATCAGATATTGAATTCAAAACAATGGCTCTAAGGAAGCTCGATGAGCTCAGCCGCTAAAGATAACTATGAGAAACTGCAGAGAAACTATCAGGATCTTACAGCAAACTATATCAACCTGGAAAAGGACATAGAAACAAGAAGACACAAGAGGATATGAAGAATACCATTTCTGAACTGAAGAACACAGTAGAAGAAATCAAAAGCAGGCTGGATGAAGCCGAGGATCGAATCAGTGAGATGGAGGATAAGGTAGAAAAAAGCTCCCAGAGAGAACAAGAAATGGAAAAAAGACCAAAAAGAATGAAGAGGCATTTAGAGACATGCAGGACAACCTGAAATGCAATAATATCCGCATAAAAGGGATACCAGAAGGAGAAGAAGAGGAGCAAGGGATAGAGAACCTCCTCGAAAAAGTAATGATGGAAAATTTCCCGAATTTGAGGAGAGAAAAGGTCTCATGGACCCAGGAGGCACAGAGGGCCCCATTCAAAAGGGACCCAAGGAGGCCCACTCCAAGACACATCGTCATTAATATGGCAAATATCAAAGACAGAGAGTCCTAAAGGCAGCAAGGGAGAAACAGAGAGAAACATACAAAGGACCCCCGATACAGCTAGGAGCTGACTTCTCAACAGAAACACTATAAGCCAGAAGGGAATGGCAAGAAATATTCCAAGTAATGAAGAGCAGGGGTCTACAGTCAAGGCTGCTCTACCCAGCAAGGCTCTCAATTAAAATGGAAGACAAAATAAGGAGCTTCCCAGACAATGGAGGGCTAAAAGAATACATCTCTACCAAAACAGCACTACAAGGTATGCTAAAGGGACTGGATTAAGAAGATGAAGGAAAACAGTGAGAAAGAGAAAAACACAGGTACAAAGAGAAAAAAATGAATAGGTTTCTATCAGTGATAA